ACATTGTAACTCTATCATTGCATTACATGACATAAAATGATTAGTCAATCATAATTCTCCTCTCTTCTTTTAATTAAGACTGATTTACTTATTAATTTACTGCAATTCCTTTTTCTTTTTTCTTTTTTTTTTTTTTGTTTTTTTTAACAAGGATAATAGTTAGGAAGTAAGTTTGAATTAGTTGTTAGTAACTAGAGATTTAGTCCCCAAACAGGGTGAACATTCCACCTCTTTAAATAAGGCGCGTGGCTATTGGGCCCTTTTTTGGTGGAGTTTACGACGGTGGTAGAACTCGAAACTCCGACCACCTCATCTAAACACTTAAGGTTTTGGGTCGAACCATTGGATCTAAAGACCCGGTTCCCTCTTTCTTTTATTTGAATGTTGTACGTATATCTAAATCATCTTATTCACCCTTCAAGACTAACTCTTCTTAAAACAATCTTAATGGTGTAATTTGTATACCTTATTCAATATTATCTTATTACACTATATCTTTTTTCCATTAAGATATAATTACACTATTGGGTTCAGTCTCGTATGACACAAGAAAGATTAACAGCTCAATTTAAAAATTATAAGTAGTGTCATAGTTATATATGGTGTGTTGTATACAATACGTGTATTGCTTAATTGCTTATACATAATGAAAATGATATGATACGGTGGCTTTGTCCAATGAAAGACTTGAATACAACGACACAAACAAGAAAATAACATGTGATATTGTAACTCAATTCATATGAATTGCATGTTTCCTATTCAAAAGAGTTGAGTTTCAAATCCCTCTTTTCTAATATTTATATAGAAAAACAAAGTTAAAATAATTTGAATATCTTATTTTACAATTCAAAGTATAAAATAAAGATGGTTGTATGAGGAAGAGCCCAAATTTCAGTACAATTTAAATTATACAACAATTTTTTCCAAATAATTAAAGTTACCAGAAGTCTAAATGGTGGTCCATGAACTGATTTAAGGGGACCAATCTAGGTCCAGGCTTCACTGGCTCATATTTCTCACCGGCCTGACGACATGGGCTTGCAAATGGACTTGTCTCACCTTTAACGATATGGGCGTAGAAGTAAAGCTCTAAAATGGAACCGGACCCATTACGAGGAGCAAAGGATATGTAGTTCGCTGCAGGTTTCATTGAGATAATGAGATTCAACGTCTGTATGCCTGTCTTGAATTGCGGAAATATCGTTTCATCCCTGAAGATTCCAGAGTTTTTCCCTTACCTCTGTTTCCAGAGTTTGGACGACCACAATAATGTCGTGGAAATCGACAAAGAACATGACATATTTTGCGTCAAATTTGTGTCCAAAGTCATTTTCAGGTTGTCTTTTGCTTCATACTGTCTTGATCAAGTTGGCACATCTAGTGACAGCACATGTTATAAGTTTGCATTCCTTTGATATTGGATTTTGTTAGTTTTTATTACGAGTCAGTGAAGTAACATAGATTATGATCTTTACCATCACCTGTGGAAGCAGGTGTAGCATCCCACATCAAAAATTTACAAGTCAATGAAGAGCTATATATACTCAGTATCGGGGTCCTTAGGTTACGACCTTACTTGAACAGGATCTGTTCTATAGGCTCGTACTTCTGTATCCTTGAGTTCTAAGGAGACAGGATCCAAAGTCTGGTGGATGAATCAAGACCGTTTAACCAGAGCGTGATTAACAGCTTCATGATCCCTGCGATCACTGAAGCAGTAGAGGATCGTTCTCAGCTGGAGTCATCCGAGCTGGGGTGGTTGCACGGTTGTCTGACAGACTTCAAGACCTTTTTTTTATTTTTTCCCCCCAACTTCTCAAACAAAATTGCATATTCTGATGATTACATAAGTTAGGAATCCTGTTGAGATTCTTGGGTTTGAGAAGTAGCAAGGAATAAAGCCCCAGCACCAGAGCCGCCATGGGAATGTTCAATTATTACATTTTCTGAGAGTTGATTCCCCAACATTTCCCACACACTGCTGTGGAGATCATTTCTAAAGACTCTATAGTGTTCATAAAGCCCTCCTCCAACTGTTACCACGCTTCTGTGCCCTTTATTCTTCCCAGCTTCTTCATAATGGCCACAATGCCTGTTCCAACTAGACGAGCACCTCTTTTTGTTACTATGTCACATACCTCCACAACAATTTCTCTCATCATTAGTGTAGAATTTGTGATCTGGGATTGGTGGAAATTGTGAGAGCCAAACACACAATTCTCACTACTAATATTTATGGAGTATATTATTTAAAAATATTAATTAGTAATTAGGAAAAAAAAATTAGTAATTAGGAAAAAAAAAAAAAGGCATATCCCAAATACTTCCTTTAGTGTTTCATGGACAATTTCATGATTCTCTAATGTATCTTGATGCATAGCAGCCATATTAGGTGACCTAGATGGGAAAGGAAAGAGCCAGTAGTTTTATATACGCTACAATGAAGCAGCAATGGCATATTTAAAATTGAAGTTATTTTGGTCTCCCATACCTCAACTGGTAGGGGATCATAAGATTAGGAGGCACACTATCACCAAATAAGGCTGTTTCCTGGGCCATCTTCAGTAAGACTCTTCTTACAATTTCTCCCAAGTACATCCCTAAAACCAGCCTTACGAATATCTAAGAAAAAAGAGGATTCAGAAACAAATTCAGGGAATTCCAATAATGACAGTAGAAGAGATTTATCTTTTAATACAAGAATTCATTGCCATACCTAGATGCCAGGATCCGAGCTTTCAGCATCAAGAGAAGTATCAAACTCAGTTATTGGAACATGGGATGAATTGAAATTTCCCCATTCTGTGCTGATAGCCTATAGCACAAACTGCACAAGGCTTGCAGATCAAATTATGTTCAATAAGCAAATGAGCAATATTAAGTTTACTTACTGTCTCGCCTGACTTTGGTAATGGGCCATGCCATTGCCATCCAGGAACAGAGTGTGGTGTGTCTACATAAGTTGCATTTGTGCCCATTCCTAGAGAAACTGCAGCCACACAGTCCCTACTATAGTACCTACCACCAGCCAAATCTCCTATTGTATCATCTACCTGCTCAAGGTCCTAACCAAATCAATCAGCGAAAATTCTCATCCATTTTAAGAAACAAATATATTAAAATGTACATAGCTCTTTTCTTATTTCAAACTCATCAGCAAATGAACTGCTTACCAAGGCATAAACTCGCATTTCTACCCCATGTTTCTCTAGAGTTTTATTAATTTCATCAACAATCTCTTTTCCTGTTTGATCAAGTAATGTAATTCATAACATTAGGATTTATTAGGTCCTGTCTGATCAAGAAATGCCAAATTCCAGTTCCATCACACCCTTTTTAATATTCTGTGTAAAACTGAAGATACCAATCAAAACGAAGGTAAAACTCAACTGGGTCATCAGCAGAGAAACACTTTCATCTAATAACAGACCAAGAGGTGGTTCCATCTTGAGGATCAACTAGATAAGACATGGTAATTCCCAGATTCTTTTTATAGCTGTTTCTTCGTTACAATTATCAGGATGAGCTAAGATAAAGTTTGCAACTTCCATAGCAATGTAATCATTCATTCCTACATATCATATCAAAATTCAATTAGCAAGAATCAGTCCAGGGAACTAGATTAATTAACTTCCCAGGGAAAACAAAACATTTAAAAAAATAATAATTAACTTCCCCCGGACAACAAAAAAAAAAAAAAAAAAAATACACCTTCGAAGTGCCATGCATCACATTTAAAGGTACAGATATCTCCTCCCTATGCAAATCTGAAATAGGCTCATTTTTCCCTTTAAACCTTGCGCATAATATCAAAAAGGTGGTGCCCCTTAAATTCAGCCCATAGTACATATATACCTTTCTCATCCCTGCAAAATGTCCCAAAAACATGTTCAAACCAATAGAAACAAAAAAAAAACTCAAAATTTGTTCAAAAGGGTACCCGGATGGGAGTGAAGCAACATAAGAAACAAGCAGGCTGGGGGTGCTTCTGCTACTGGTTTCTAATGAATTAGCAAGAGAGGATTGCATATCAGCCACCATCGCATCTGCCACCTCCCATAATTTGGGAATTGGAGTGGCACATTCTCCTGCAAACTTTCGAAGGATGCGTTGGGTTTGCTTCCACTGCCGCTCTCTCCTTCATCTCTAGTGCCTGAACAGTGCTGCCACCGTCACAATGGTTGCAGCAGCAGTGCTGGCTACTGCAATCACACCCTCCTTTTTCATCTCTCCAATTTCACAATAATAAATTTCTCGAGAGAAGATCTTTCCATCTAGATTTTTTTTTTTTATCTTAGTTACATTATAACAAGCAACTATTTCTCATCTTTTATCTCACCTCACTCGTATATTATGCGATTCAAACTTATCTCTTACTTCCAACCAAAGGAGGAGATATCTATTGAACTACCTAGGTCATTGGCTTCCATCTAAGTTTCTTAATCTAGTTGTTTTAAAAGATCCATTTCTCCGGTAGATATGAACCAGTTTCATGGAAATCTTGTGCCGCAAGGGATGGTGGCATCAGGAACTCGTGGAACTTTTTGTAAATGGAGAAGATTCAAGCCCAACTTGAAGTGCTGAATAATTAATCACTAGAGCCCAGGATAAATAGTTAATATGGGCCAAAATTTAGAGCCCATAATTAATAAATAGTGGATTTATTTTCATTTGTGGAAAACTAAAGCAAAGCAAATCACTTTTATTCCGACTCCAGCAAGTAAATCCACTATTGCACTTATTAGTTTCGGCCGACTAAAACTTGCAAGGATTGAAGCCCAACTTGGAGACCTAACATAAAGTTTGGGCCCAAGGCTAATGGAGTATGGGCCAAAGTCAGAATTTTGTTTTTCTTGAAAGATGTGAAAGGCAGATCATTAACATTAACGTTACGACAATGTCCATTGCCTATTTTCACAAAAAAAAAAAAAAAAAAACAACAACAACAACAACATTACGACAATATAATGAATGAATGAAGTTCAAATCTCGATCGACATGGGGGAGCAACCCATTGTTCAAATAAATAAATAAAAGAAACACCATTGCCAAAGCTGCAAAGTTTTATAGCATGTTTGGTTTTGGTTGTTGGCTCAATATTTTAATTTAATTAGGTGAAATAAGAACACTTTTTCGTCCTCTTCAAATCAAAGAGATTTTAAATAGTTTAGCTTTTGGTGAATGTTGAATAGCGTCATCATGGTGTGATTAGTGATGTAATATAACGGGGTGGAAAGAAGGAAAGAAAAGAAAAACAACTCAGATGCTATGGAAAGGGCATGATATGATTGTTAATAAGAATGAGAAAGTTATAAAATTGTAAAATATGTTTTTTAAAATATTATTTTTATAAATTTTTTATTTTACAATTTAAATTATATTAAATTGTAAAATCATAATTCTTAAAGCAGAGAAGAGCTTAGATTAGAGAATAATTCAATGGGTTTTTCTTAATTTATGGATCATTGTTTTGCAGTTTAATATAATTCAAAATATAAAATAATTTTTTTTTAATTTTATTTAATTTAATTGATAATGATAATTAATAATGACTTATTAATTAATAAATTAAAATTTATTAATAAATCATTTTTTAAAAAACAATTTAAGAAAACAAAAAGAAATTTTGGTGTCCTCCGTCGCAATATACACAGCTCTATAGAAATGGAGGATATTAGAAAACAAATTGTCTTTTGGTAAGGAGTATGATATGGAAAACGTTGTCATTTTCAAAAAAAGCAGCATCCGTACTAAACTCCCATCAATGATTTTCTGCTTTAGTCAGACATATAAAAGCAATTGATTCCATATTTTAATATGATTTTGGAGTATGATTACAGTCCGAAAGTCGTAGTAAACGCAAATTAGGAGTCAAACTCGTAGAGCTAATCGATTTAAATAAAGAGCTATCAGTATTCAGAATCATTGCCCTGAAAAAGTTGGAATCATTATAAACCAAATCTCTGAAAAAGAAAGTTCAGCAACATTTTTTTTTTAAAGAAAATCTCAAACAGAGCAAATAATGAACGAGGGCTGGGAAATATTTCTTCTCTATCCCATTAAATATTCGTAGAAATATAAAGCAGGAAAGTATAGATGGTGCTGGAGATGGAAGCTAGCTTAAATTCGCTGTTTATTCTTCTTCTGCAACGTCAAAATTACCATGGAATGGATCATTACAGGGTTGAAGAAAGTGAACA